TCTTTTAGCTTGTTCCAGAAATGAAAACCAAGCACAGTGAGATCCGGCGATCTAGGCTGCCATGGAAACAAACTTCCTCGTCCAATCCAGCGGTCCGGTTACCTTTGGTTCAAAAAGCTACGAACTACCCGAGAGGAGTGTGCAGAACACCCATCATACTGAAACCATATATCCCTTATCATCATCAATTGGTTCCTTAAAAAAGTCCAAGTGAATATTTCCATTCAAATTACCATTGATAAAAAACGGGCCAATAATCCTATACCATCGAAAATGCCGCACCACACACATTAACACTCCATCGATTTTGATGGCCAACTTCACACATCCTGTGGGCATCATCATTGGACCAGTAATGCTTGTTGTGCAAATTGACACCTCCGGTAGCTTCATCAGTCCATAATATGCGCTACAAAATCTGTTCTTCACCAATCATAGTTCTTAGTGAATAGCAGTGATTCAATCTATATTCAAAATCAAATTCCGAGAAGGCCTGAATTTGACATGATATGGATGAAGGTTATGGAACTTTAAAATTCTATGTAGCTTATTCCTAAGTCAGAGGCAATTGTCCTTGTGCTTGAATGGGGACTCACCTGAACGAAGGCAAGAACATCAATTATATTATTTCCATTCCTGAGGTTCCGATTCCTCATTGGTGGTGGAATAGGATGCACCCGTCCTGTCTGTCGCAGTCGTCTACAAATTCGAGATGATACTTTCCTACTGAAATGTCTTCTATAGTTATTTGCGTAAACGCATATTCTGCCATAGCAACATTTTCAAAACAACGAAATTAAACCGCCAACATATCATAGGCTTCGGAGTTAATAGAATAAGACATTTTTAAATGAATTTCAAATTCCCAAATGTCAAATTACTTCAATATTAGGGTTGCCTAGCAACTAGCATGGTAAACGTATAATTATTTCCACAGATATCACGATGGAAGTGAATAAATATTCAATTTGTTCAAAATATAACATGATTTTTCAATAGAAAATTAGTTATTCGCCAATATCTTGAAGACAAATTAAGATATCGAATCGCGGTTTGCACTAAAATGTATGCATTTTCATTCCCTTCTATGTCACTGATGCAAACATGATTGTATCATTCAGTTTGAATTTTTCGAGAAAATCCAGAATAATCGAATAGCCGGTAAACGACGCCCTCTATTAGACGCAGTATGAACTAGCGACCGTGAACGAAAACAGTATTTGAATAAGTGTGAAATTATCTTTCGATCGAGCCCAAGTTGATCGAATTTGGATGAGGGGTATGAAAGATACATCGATTTGAACATTATTTTGTTCACAGGCTTCCCCCACCATTATTATTCAAAATACGAAAGAATGTCTGGCAAACAACACAACAATAAATTGATGATCTTTCCATTTTCGTTATCAAAAAATTATGTTACGCAGTGATTTCCTGAGATGATTCGAATTTTTCGTTGTATCGTAGTAATTTCAGAAACTTGAAAATATTTAGAATCAATTTCTCATCGCCGATTTCATTGATGGATTATTTTCCCGAATCTGTAAGTTTTATGGTTTCCATAATATCGTACCTCGCCGACCTAAGTGGGACACCCTGTACAGGGCATCAAAGTATGTAAAATAATAGTATATTACATAACAAGAGTTGTAAAACGCATATTACGCACGAAGTGGAGAGAGTTACACACGATGCCGCATAGCGGCGAGTGTGTAACTCCACAAGTGCGTAATTGCTTTACAACTCGAGAATTGTACTATACTTTTTCTACGACTACACTATATTTTCTTCCGGATAGTGCAGATATTGCATTAAGGCACAAATAACGAATACCTATATATACACGTCTCCCGTGACTAACCCAGCTGCATGAAGAGTTACAAATCAAAATTCTTGGATTTGTTTATTGATACATTGCATACCGAGACATTTTCCTCAATTCGAACTGAAATGGAGCCGTTTTTAATATCTAAACAACTTAATTAATAGCCAAAAACACATTATATAAAAATATGAGATTAACATTCATAATGGTTATTTATTGTAACAGTGCAGAACGAGAGATTCTGTAATCGTTATTGAAAGTAATAAAAAATAGTTCTCCAACTGTGCTCTGATCCACCGACCTTTGGACTCGGAGCCAGCGCTTCCAACAACTGAGCCATCACCATTGCTTGAGATCGGTGGATATTTTATAAATATGATTTCGACAATCGATCTTTTCTAAAATTATTCCTGTTATTTGAAGTAAAAGGAATTCATCAATTCAATGTTGAGTATATATGTTATTTGAAAAATTACCTTCATGAATATGCATCAACAGGAGCAATCTGCAGAAAATAATTGATCTGTTCAGCATTAAGTATTTTCGATTTTTTACTTCGGAATCCATCCGATTTCCTCTCGAGGAAATGGGATATGTTGCTATATTAATATTGTGATTGATTCGAATTTGATAATTCTTGAGAATAATATACTGAAAAGTTATGTTCCGAAAACGACACGGTATTATTTTTCTAATTCTCTAGTCCAGGTATTTTTAATGTGCTATTTCGTATCATTCACGAGACTTAGCGGGTAGCAACTCATTTTCAGCCATTAATTCTAGCTTTTTCCAACATTTCACGAGGTGTAGAAATAATCTGCTCATCGTCATAGCTACTGACATTAATGAAATAGTTAATTGTTATTGACACATCGCCTAAGCAAAAAAACAAAGTCATCTATCAACATACCTATGGAAACCGTGCGATCGCTCTCTTTACGCACACGTGTGTAAGGAGAAGCTTACTGCCATTGTTTTGTGTACAATATTCATCACTTACAGTAGTAGTCGTAGGAAAAACTCTTTATTCTCAATAACTCGAATATTTTTTCATATGTGGGGTCCATTACCCACTGACTTCCTGTTTTTAAATAACTAACAGTACCAGTGACTCCACAGCTATAAGGATTTTGAGATAGTTATTCAAATTGGATCCTGATAAAATAAATGGTTTCAAAGATCATTTGGAGAGCATTTGCTCCTCATTTTTATCGCGTTTCAGAAACAATACATCCGCCGGTCCAACGTTGGTAGTATATCAGGGTAAATGGTAGTTTCCTTTTTTCGTGAAGTCATCAAATTCCAACTCTTGATGCTTGTCAAACGGAAATTTTCGTGATCATTTCGGAATCTGATGAAGTGTTTATTTTGTTTGATCAAATCCATTTGGCCTACTGTTGCTTCCTCAAAGACGCCATTTTCAGCTATACAGGGTGTTTCATAATTGAATGTCAATATTTGGGGACGCAATTCTTGGGCCCATTCTAAGAAGAAAGTTTCATATGAACGTATGACCTAAACATCCTAACTTTTGAGATACAGGGTGGTAAAGTTCTCAAAAATTAATAGTTTTTTATTAATATCTGTAATACCACTTCAGATATTCTGATGAAATTTGGCATACATGTACTATGTATCAAGAGGCATCAGTTAGCGTACCACATTTTTTGTTGTTGCCACCAGTGGCGTTCGTATGGAATTTCACATACCTATTTTGGCAGACATTGATGGTACGCCACTGATTAATCTCCAAATTGAAATCATTCCTGAAATTCCCGATCATTTCTAAGCAAATTTGATCACTACAATTTTTTCAATCTGATGCACGGTTTTCGCTTAAAAATAAAAAGCTTTTCACTACATGATTATAGTAATATTGTTAATATGATAATATCACAATGCAGAGAAATAGTTTTTATTTTTAAGATCAAATTTCAGAAATACAATTCATAGTTCATGAACTTTGTATTCGTATTTGGTATTTTCGAATTATAACTTCTCATTGTAGTAGGCTATATTAATTTTCGAGAATTTTACCACCCTGTATCTCCAAAGTTGGGACGTTTAGGTCATACGTTCATATGAAACTTTCTTCTTAGAATGAGCCCAAGAATCGCCTCCTCGAATATTGACATTCAATTATGAAACACCCTGTATACAACGCATTTCTTTGAATGATACGTGATAAGTGGACTTCTCCAGAATTCCCATTACGGTGCCAAAAACTTGTGTTATCCAGAGTCACACTTCGCTATGTCAACTTATTCCAGTTATTTCGCTGGGAAACACATTAACAACTCTCACGAGAGTGTTTCACTTTGTTATAAGTATAGAGTTTGTGCGGGTAATAACTTTTCGAGGGCTTCACTCGGCAGTACTATTTCAACATAGCACCCAAGTTCCTTTCATACATATTGTATATAAGATGAAAGTGATATCGAGGGAACTGTAAAGTGACTAGGAAAGAGATTCTTGGACAAAGAGCCCTCACAAAGAGATAACCGTATATATAGATATATAGTTAGATATAGGAGGTGTTTTTGAAATGAGTACATATCGCTGCCCCAGAAGAATACTGACGCAAATGTAAAAAAGGTAATTTCACAGGAGAAGGAAAAAACGAAATTCGAATTTCAATTTATCGATTTCCTAACAAACCATTCCATTTATATGTTTGAATCTCTGGTATTTTGGAGGCATACCTTCTTATTTCATTGTAGTATTATTAAAAATCTCATATCATGAAATTTGATATGCATATTTGAAGTTATGTCGTTATTCATGCAGAATAAATAAAAAACATCAGATAGTTAGGTCAATACTTCAATGTATTTCCTCTTGGTGATGAAAACAAAAATAAAGAAGGATAAACTTAAAATGAGATATTCTGTTCATTTGGTAGCAAGAATACATTTGGCAGCAAGAATAGGAACTAGAATTTGCTAAAATACATTCGAAACAAATCAAGAATATTTTTTTAATCATGTAGATACTCATACCAGTCATTCCGATACGATAATTGCACTCAAGTAGGCTATAATCGTGATTTTAACAACTAAAACTATCTCTGGATTTTCAAACATCTTCAAGAAACAAAAACAATACTCGAATGATCATAGGTATGTTTCAAAATCTGAACATTCGTGAATAAAGAACAAAAAACAGGGTATCGTTATCAGTTTGTAACTGTATCATAAAAATATCTGTAAAATTTGGGAATGATATTTGCTTCGATAAGAGATTTGAGATCTTTTCTTTTGTTCTCAGAAATTTTTATATTTTCAGAATATGCATGTTTGAGGGTAACTGTTTCAATATCTTTCAACTCAGAACGTCTTCTTCTCGGCCTGAAAGAAACAAAACTCCACTCCTCTTGCTTGTAGCTTGTCTTGAAACGGAATACGTCAGCACCTCTTTCAAATTGCATAATTCGAATATCGTTGATTTTGAAATCATTACCATCTATATCTCTAGAGATATTGATACCCATGTCGTCGTATAACGATTTTATATCAACAAAATCTGCATATCCCATTTCTTTAACTTCGACTGGGTTTCCCTTCTTCCTAGCATTTTGAATGACTGTGATGTACTGGTCTGGCACGTAGATGGGTCCAGATTTCTTTGTTCGTTTTAGAGCCCTTTCTATGACACTATGTATTGCGTCTCCTTCATTTTGAGTATGACCGCGAATTAAGTATTTATGTGTTATTGATTTGATATTAAATCGTCCTACTGCATATAAATATGCACCGATGAGGAACCTGAAATAAATAAGAGAATCACAGTCTTCTTTGATCAAGCATTATTCGAAAAAACTTCACAAACCTATTTTTTTTTTGTCCTCCACAATTGTCTGAATAAAAGATCACATCCATTCCAGGTGTGTTTTCTGATATTTCTTGAAGATAATTCAGAACACAAGTCCCAATCTCTATTGCTCCTCTGTGACCGAGTCCTTCATGCCAGAAAAATGATTTTGTTTGGTCATTACCTATGTTTGTGATCTGAAAACATAAATGAAACTACTCAGTTAGCGTATACAGTTCCAGAATTTCATACTCACCGTGAAGTTATAACAATTGAGGCGACTTTTGTAAAAAAATGCGGATGTTTGGCCCATGGGTACAGGCAGAACGGCCTGCAAATCATAAACGGCCAGAATTACTCCATGTTCTTTTGCCTTCTCTTTATCTTCAGTTTTAACTTTCCTACTAAGATCCTTCTCTTCTGAGTGTTTGTTGTACTTTTCCTCTAATTTGATTCTTTCATCATTGCTCGCGTTTTTATATGATTCGCATAGATCACATTGATCTTTTTTTGGAGAGAAGAACCCTATATTGTATTCCGTGTTGAAAACTTTAGCGTATGTATCGTAAGATGCAACTTCTCTATTACAATAGGTTCTCTCTTCTGAATAGTTCCTGTGTAGTTCAGCTATACAGAGCCCTCCATCTATATACTGCCGAGAAGTATCGCTCCTTACATAGTGACTTTCAATCCTCGGAATGCTATCAATATGGTTTCTGATTGAATTCAAAATCTCGTCACTTGTTTTTTTATGATTAGAATGTTTTCCACGTTTGTCTGTGACTATCATTCCAGATCCGTTTAATTTTGATGAAATTACGGTTCGCAAAGTTCTCTCTGATACTCCCAATGTATTCAATAAGAATGTTTTGCATACTCTCATTTTCTCATCGTTATTACGTAAATAGAATGCACAGTTTGGTTTCCTTGGATTAGCTGCGGAAATTCTTCTATAACTGAGTTCTAGTTGCTCAACACATGCACCTAAAAAATCACGCTGTTGCTGTAAGCATGCCAATTCCCAAAAATCTTCAAAGAGTTTCCTTCTGAAATCTTCTGAAAATTTGTCAGCGCACTTTAGAACACACCTGACTGGACACGGTGGTTTCATGCTTTTTGCCTGAACAATATTACCACTTTTCGACTGGTATTCTTTTCCAGAATTTTTCTGTCTCTTTGCCTTTTCTTTGGCCCATGTCTCAACCCTCTTGACACGCTTTTTGCCTTTTACTGGGAACTCGGGTTCCTCAGCAGGTACATGCACTGGTGGATCAGCGATTTTGGGTTCTTTAGCAGGCATAGACACTTGCGGATTAGTTCTCTCGAGTTCCTCGGCCGGCACTGCAGGATCAACGATTCTGGGTTCTACAGGGGGCATAAGCACTCGTGAGGAAGTGTTTTCGGGTTCCTCAACCGGCACTGGTGGATCGGCGATTTTCGGTTCCTCAGCAGGCATAAGCACTCGTGAAAAAGTGCTTTTGGGTTCCTCAGCCGGCACTGGTGTATCAGGACTTTCGACAGTTTCGGAATCCGAATCACTTTCGCTAGACGGTTCATAATTATCGCTTGAACCTGAGGAGAATGGATCTTCTTCTGATGAACCGCTATTTTCGTTGTATGATGATACTATGATTTTTCGAAACGACAGCTTAGTCCCAACTTCATTGCTCTCAGTACTATCATCCTGTAATGATAGTTTACTAACACCAGGTTTGCTGATTGTTTCTGATGAAAATTCAGTCATATGTTGCATATCATTGAGTTGATCTGAGCCGTCTAAAATATCATCACGAACAGGTTGCTCAGTATTCGATTCATTCTCTTGATTGAGATCAGGATTATTATTTCTTTGATCTGGCCCTAGCAACACGACTTCCGCATCAAATGATTTGTCGTATCGGTTTGCTGGTGTTGTTTTAGCCTGTTCTTCAACATGCTCGTGCAATTTTCGGTTTTGTTCTTCGAGTGCTTCGAATATCTTATCCGCTCGATAACTCATGATTTTCTGGTAGACAAATCCACGTTGATACTAAAATGAGTGGAGGATATCAATATCTATATTTTTAAAGCATCAATGATAATCACTTCTACTTTTTCTTCCATGAGGAATCAAACAACATTATTTTAATCATCTACATGTACAAAGAATCATAATGAAAAAGTTGAAATTCCATTTATAATTTCTATCATTTTTCTTTATGCCACATAAATAACAGATGGGAGCTTCCAAGTTCTTAGATGAATTGTCCGAAAGAACACTTAGGTCGTTTAGAATCTCGATAATCCGAAGTTATATAGACTGAAAGTTCAATTAGGGTGAGAACCAGATGTTATTTCAGAGGAGAAAACGACGCTTGAGATAGTTATGTCATTATTTCTCTATTATTGAAGCAGAAACATGACGCAAAATACATTTGAGTCATTCTTCTACTGTAGCACGGAATGTTAGTTACACTTACGTCAATTAACATAAAGAATTTTCGGAAGATCAATGACACAAAATACACTTACGTCGTTATTTCTCCAAAATTATGCATCAAACATCACATCTGATATACGCAAGTTGCCTTTATGGCGTTTTTTCACCGGAAAAAAATAATGCGCATCCACTCACTTCAGAAGACTTCTCACAACTGACCGTTGCGGCGGTTTTCTTCCGTTAACATGGCGCCAAATGACACGAATTCAATAACGACGTAACTTACATCTAGCGGTCAAATATTTTACTACAATTCTGACAATTTTTTTCCAGATAGAGGCGACTTTTCTCTACTTGCTGATGGGTGTAACTCATTTAGAAAAAAATTGCAGTTACGTCATTATTCTTCTGGGGCAGCGATATATTTAGCACATGGATATGATATAGTCTAAGGAATATTTCAATGATATCAGATTTTTTCTAATTATTTTAATTAACAAAAACTTTCATTCCGAAAATTCAACAAAAAACGAGAAAAAATCACGGAAATTTGAACAGAGGTGACGTGAAAATTGCTACAGATTAGAAATTTGGGTGGAAAAAGGGGTTTCAACCCCAAATTTGATCCCCATATATTCTTATTGGTGTCATTCGATAGTATACGTAGAGCTTTCTCAGGGTTTGAAATATTTGCACTTATTTCAATGCCACCCTGTATAGTTAGATATATAGGAAGATATCATTCATTTAACTACTTATACATAAAGCTAGAAAACTATATGGTGATAAACAAAAGTGAGAGTACAGATAAAATCAAAACAAAAAGCATACAAGGTATTTTTTTATCGCTTGAAGCGCACGAAAGGAAATCCCTATAATGTTCAAAGAACATCGTGCGTTCCTAGGATGGATAGGGATAGGAGGTATAGGTATTGGAATTTTATTTGAACTTCTGGAGATTATATATTGTTGGGAATACTTCCTCAGGCAATGAATTCCAGAGCCTAGCCGTTCTATGGATGAGGAGTTTTGATAAAGTGCTGTTCGACATCTTCGAGGTTGACAACGAAAGGATGTGCTGACTGGGCTTGTCTAGTTCGTCTGACTGGTATTGCTAGTGAAGGGATGATGACAGAGATTTCCGAGGAACATTTCCCGTGGAAGTATCGATAGAAAAGTGAAAGGTCACCGACCTTTCTACGGTATTCCAATGATGTCAAAGAGTGAGTGTGGCGTCACCCACCAGACGAATGGCACTCCTCTGGATGGAACCTAAGAGCATCAGCGTATGTTTTGGTGCTGAACCCCATATGTGGGAACAGTATTCTAGAACAGGCCGTATCTGCGCTTTGTAGATCATGATGAGAAGCTGTTGAGCTGTAAAGTAGCTTTTCGCACGGAACAAGAATCCGAGTTTTTGTGAAGCAGCTTTTGCGATGGATCTGACATGATTATCCCATGAAAGAGTGTTGCTGATGGAAATACCGAGCATAGATATGGTGGGCTTAGTAGGGATGGTGGTGCCAGACATTACGATATCGGGCATACTGTTTGAGTTTTGGTGGCGTTGAATTCAACTAGGTTGTTGGTTCCCCAGGCTATGATTTCAGCAAGGTCTTCATTGACAGCATTGACCTGTCTGCGCCGTGAGTTATTAGTTTCCTGAGAAGAAATGGGAATTCTGGAAGAAAACGACGCAGTATGGAGGGTACCATCATCTGCAAAGCTGTGGATGGGGCAAGTTGTTACTCCCAACAGATCATTGATATGAAGAAGGAATAATGTTGGTGCCAAAATTGATCCTTGTGGAACGCCGGAATTGATGCCAATGGTATCAGACGATACACCGTCTTGTGGAGGAGTCCTTCGTGCCAAACACGGTCGAATGCTTTCGATATGCCCAACGCGACAGCTAGAGATTCCCCGTGTTTTTCTAATGACGCTTGCCATAAATGGGTGACGTAGGCAAGTAGATCTCCAGTAGATCTTCGATGGCTAAAGCCGTATTGCCTATCATTGATGATTCCTGAGCTCTCCAGATATTTGATAAGCTCAATATTGATGGCTTTCTCCATCACTTTGTAGATTACTGATAACAGGGCGATGGGCCTGTAGTTGTTGGGCAGGTCCTTGTTCCCTTTTTTGGGGATTGTTTGGACTCTAGCTGTCTTCCAGCATGATGGAAAAATACCCGACCTGTACGAGACGGTAAACAACTTGCAGAGAATCGGTGTTAATTCTGGTGCACATATTTTGAGGATAATGGGTTGAATTCCATCAGGACCGATAGCCTTATTCGTTTTGAGACCGAGCAAAATTCGTCTGATAGTGCGTTGACGGAAGACGATTTCGGGCATTCGACTCTCAACGGGTGGAATGTCTGGCGGCACTTTTCCTTGGGAATCTGAAGTAGAGTTTGCTGCGAACATCTCTGCAAAAATATTTGCTTTCTCCTGCGATGTTGTTGCTAATGTGCCGTCGGATTTGGACAGTGGTGGAAATGAACTATTAGTGAAATTTCTTCCGACCGCTTTAGCAAGGGACCAAAACGAACGGAAGCCATTGGGACAATCTATGAGTTTCGATCTTATCTTGGCGTTGTTTGTTTCTTTCGAAGCATCTATTGTTGTTTGACTGCAGTTATTCCTGGCATCAACGTATTCTGCTCTAGTCGCGAGGTTAGGGTTTTTGCGCCAGCGATGGTAGGCTGTTTGTTTCAAGGCAACAGTTCTAAAACAGATAATGGTATAATCCACAGCCACAGACGAATATCAAAATATATTATACACAATATCAGGTTATGACTATCGTAAAACGCTAGTGGTGTCTCCATGTATTCAGCAACGGAGTCGAAACAGTGAAGAAGGAGATACTTATTTGAATTGCTAACAGCATTTTTTGGTAGATATCCTAAGTTTGAACTTTGGCGCCTTCAGCAGTTTAATATTCCTTGTATTACTGTCATTTTATAGTCGGCTGGATTCTGATTTTTGTGAATTTCAAGTAGAGAGTTGTAATAATATGAACATGGAAGTGGCATTATTCGGAAGAGTTTGAAATATAGCTTACAGTGATTTGTGAAACGCAGGTTAGTCAAGGTTCTAATTCCTTCTTCTTCCAGAATAAATACTTTCGCTGATTTAGTTGAGTTTTCTTAAAGTTGAGTTCAGCAAGGAACAGTGAAAAGTAAGATGTTGACAATAATTCTTTAGTCAAAATATTCTTGAGTTGACGTATAGGGAATAATGATTGACAGGATCGTTTTTGGCATAATTTCTCAATGTGAGCACCCCATTTGAGTGAATCATCAATGGTTATCCCCAATATATTCACAGAAGAGCCTTTGCTAGCGATTCATTTTTTCTTATTGTAAACGATTGAACAATTTTGTCGGAAAATACATATATTTTGACAACCCTCGCCCTTCCTATCAATTTCACGGCTATTTTCCCCTCGGCTAACAGCGTCTTTTCCGCTATAATTTCCATTGTTCTCTGTTGCCATTCAAATAAAAATCCATAATCGCTTGTCAAAACCATTCCAAGGATGAACTCGTTTCTTTTTATCGGTGACGTGCACCTTATCAGTTTTGGGAGCTGTGGCGGACTAAGGCAGCTAGGGGCCTTAGGCACAAGACACATCTGAACCCCGTTCCTTTAAAAATGGTCAGGCGTTTCCTGATTCTCCAGTTTCACTTCAAAGTTTAACTTTGGACCTCATCAGGTCAAACAGAATATAAAGAAGAAATGCATATGATTGTGAGGAATAATATTCAAAAACGGAATAAACAGGAAAATGAAATTGTAGAAATAGCTTCAAAGGAAAAGGAGGAAAATGGAAAACCGGTTACATACCTGGATGAAAATTCATTAAGATACTCAATCGACAGCTCTATGAATCTAGAAAGGAATCAGAGGTTCGTAATCCATCCCCCGCACTGAGAGAGAAAACAAACCCTGCCCTTCCAGTGCGAAAAATCCACATACATATATGGAGATCGCTATAATACAGGCTTCTCTAAGGTTCTAACTGAAATTGTTGGCAACTATAAATATAATGTACATTAAATTGTACACAATGCTGAGATTTCTGATCTAACAAAAGATGTATTTGCTGAGACTATATAGATTATGTTAGGGAGGATTCAATAGTGATAATGTTTAATACTAAAATTGTAAGTAACCGGCACTTAGTATACCAACTTCCATACAATACATTAGGACTAACTTGATAATAATGACAGAGTGTCATTGTCGGTCTGACAAAAATATCAATAGGATTATTTACAATAAAATCAAAATATTTAAGCAAAATAGCAAAAATTGCTCCATGACAGTCTTAGCCGGCTAAAAACAAGAAGGTAGCAAATTCGGAATGACTGAAAAAGTGAAGAGAACTCTTTCACTTATCTCAAATCGAGCACATAACTTCACTATGTAAATTATAACAAAAATTTCAATCCCCTCCATGTAACGAATCATTGCTGTTTTTACCCAACAAAGTAGATAAACTACTATACCTTCTCAACTTCGATTTCGGAATCGGTAAGTTATATTTCGGAAAAAGTAATCTCGATTTCA